TTTCCCCCAAACTCCTCCAAATACCTATAAAAAAATGACTCTAAACAAATTCTAAAGCAGCAGAACCCACAAAAATTCAGAACGAAACAAATTTCCAGCCCAAAACAACCTGTATGGTTGATCAGAAAGGTATATCTCCCAGGCTGGGAGAGGAGCACAGTTTGGCGTGGGAGTGCAGGCTGCAGTAACCCTGGAGCAGGCCTCAGAGGACTGAATCACAGGCTGCTGTGGCAGTTTACAGACTTCTCAACCCATGAATGCCAAAGACAACTTGGAAAGTCAGTGGGAAAAGTCTGTGTCAGCAGGGAGAGAGAGAGAAGCTGGTAGTCTCAGCTCCAGTCCCTGAGCTCAGAGGGGGCAGTGGCTGCCTCTTGAGCTTCTGGCCTCGAATCGAGTGGCTGATCAGAGGGGGATTGCAGGGATCTCTCTGCTGGTGCAGGATTCTCTTGCTTTGCCCTTGCTTGGATCTGGGTCACAGTTCTGGGTGGCAGTCCTGGGGCAAGGAGGAGCACTGGCGTGGTGGAGTTGGTAGCGGCTGTGGAGAGGAAAGCCTCTCCACAGTTCCAAAACAGAAAAGAGTGCTCATAGAACAGAGCACAGGCCAGGAAAGGAGTAAACACCTCCCCCTTGATCATACCACCTTGGAAGAACTGAAAATTTACGGGTCCCTAGAAGTATCTCTGAACACAGCTGCACAAAATTCCTGAAGATTAGGACAGTACATTCTCCACACTGGAAGAAGACCCCTACCTTAACAAAGAGTTTATAACTCACGTAATTGGCTGGGATCATGAGCAAGCAGTGCAAAAAGAGTCAGACTGTATTATCTTACTTTGATGACAAAGAAGATCAAAATATACAATCAGAAGAAGACAACAAAGCCAAAGCTCCTACATCCAAAACCTCCAAGGAAAATATGAATTGGTCCTAGGCCATGAAAGAGCTCAAAAACGATTTTGAGAAGCAAGTAAGAGAAGTAGAGGAAAAACTGAGAGTGATGCTAAAGGAGACTCAAAAAATACTGAAGAAAATAACATCTTAAAAAATAGCCTAACCCAAATGGCAAAAGAGGTCCAAAAAATCAATGAGGAGAAGAATGCCTTTAAAAGTGAAATCAGCCAAATGGAAAAGGAAGTCCAAAAGCTTACTGAAGAAAATACTTCCTTAAAAATTGGAATGGAGAAATTGGAAGATAGGGACATTTTGAGAAATCAAGGCACTGTCACACTAATCAAAAGGAATGAAAAAATAGAAGAGAATGTGAAATATCTCATTGGAAAAACAACTGACCTGGAAAATAGATCCAGGAGAGAGAACTTAAAAATTATTGGACTACCTGAAAGCCATGATCAAAAAAGAGCCTAGACATCATCTTTCAAGAAATTATTAAGGAAAACTTCCCTGATATTTTAGAATCAGAGGGCAAAAGAATCCACCAATCACCTCCTGAAAGAGATCCCCAAAGGAAAACTCCTAGGAATGTTGTAGCCAAATTCCAGAATTCCTAGGTCAAGGAGAAGATGTTGGAGCAGCCTGAAGGACACAATTCAAGTATTATGGAAACACAATCAGGATAACACCAGATTTATCAGCTTCTACATTAAGGGTCCGGAGGGCATGGAGTATGATATTCTGGAGGGCAAAGGAATTACAACTACAACCTAGAATCACCTACCCAGCAAAACTGAGTATAATCCTTCAGGGTGAAAATTGGTCATTCAATGAAATAGAGGACTTTCAAGCATTCTTGTGGAAAAAACCAGAGCTGAATAGAAAATTTGACCTTCAAATACAAGACTCAAGTGAAACATGGAAGAGGTAAACAGGAAAGAGAAATCATAAGAGACTTATTAAGGTTGAACTGTTTACATCCCTGCAGGGACAGATGATATTCGTAACTCATGAGTCCTTTGTCAGTATTAGGGTAGTGGGAGGGAAAAAAGTATATGTTTTTATAGATAGAAAGATAGATAGAGGATGCAGGATGAGTTGAAGATGAAGGGGTGATATCTGGAAAATAAAATTAAGGGGTGGGAGATTATACTGAGAGGAGGGTAAAGGAAGAAGTAGAATGAGGTAAAATATCTCACATGAAACAGAGAAGAAAAGGCTTTTACAGTGGATGGAAAGAAGGGGAAGGTGAGAAGGAATGAGCGAACTATATTCTCATTGGATTTGGCTTGAAAAAGGAATAACATACATACCCAAATGGGTATGGAAATCTATCTTACCCTACAGGAAAGTATGGGGGAAGGGGTTAAGAGAGGAAGGGGTGGTAAAAGGGAGGGCAGATTGGGGGAGGGGGTAATTAGAAGAAAACACTTTTGAGGAGGGATAGGGACAAAGGAGAGAATAGAATAAATAGGAGAAGATGGAGGGAAATATAGTAATTCCCACAACATGACTATTATGGAAGTGTTTTGCATGACTACACATGTATGGCCTATGTCGAATTGCTTGCCTTCTCAATGAGGGTGGGTCTGGGGAGGGAGGAGGGGAAAGAATTTTGAACTCAAAGTTTTAAAAACAAATGTTAAAAATTGTTTTTACATGTAACTGAGAAATAAGGTATACAGGCAAAGGGGTATAGAGATCTATGCTGCCCTACTGGAAAAGAGAAAGGGAAGGGGATAAGAGGGAGAGAATAGAAGGAAGAACAGATTGGGTGAAGTAGGAATCAGAATGCAAGTCATTAGGGATGGGAGGAGGGGAGGGATGGGGAGAAAGTTTGGAATTCAAAATCTTGTGGAAGTGAATGTTGAAAACTAAAAATAAATAAATAAATTGGAAAAAAATAAGAAAAAAAAGAAAAAGAAAAGATGGGTCTCTGTGTCCATGGGAATCTTTGAGCCAGAAAATAACTGAAATTTCCTGAAGGCAATCCAGATCATTCACCACCTCCTTTTCAATTAGGAGCCCAATTCAATGTCCATTTGTACTGTTTGTCCCAGATATACACATTAATGGATGAGTTTTATAGGTTTTTCATTCAAATCTGTAAACAGATATTTTTCATCCATTTGGTTTGTCCTAAGTGTCACTCCTTTGAGTGGTTATAGATTTACTGCAATGTTCTATTGCTTGATGCAACTGAGACAACTACCATCTACAAAGAGGAACATCTTGAGCATCTTACCATCCATATAAAATTCTCCTCTCCTTTGAAGATGTGGGGAATTATGGGTGCGGAAAAATACATATGATAGTAGACTTGGTTGATGTGTTGACTGGTTCTTTTAAATGTTTTTTTTTCTCTTTTAAAATTCTATGTTATAGGGAATAGCTCTCTGGGAAGGAAAAGAAGAGGAAAATATACTTGAAAAAAATTTGAAAAGGAAGAAAATGTATTCTCCCAAAACCATTTCCCATTCCCTTCACTCTGATTTCCTTTTATGGCATGTATTGTCTCAAACATATGAAAGGGAAAGATTAACGATGAATTCAATCCTGATAAAGTATTTTTTTTTCTTTTTGGGTGGTGGGCAACACAATTGAGGTTAAGTGACATGCCTAAAGTCACACAGCTAGTAAGTGTTATGGGTCTGAGGCCAGATTTGAACTCAGGTCTTAATGACTGTGGAGCTGGTGCTCTATCCACTGCACAATCTAGCTACCCCCCGATTAAGTATTTTTAAAAACACAGCTAGAGGAAAAGATAAGGAGTTAATGTCAGTTTCTAGCTTATAATACCCAAGATATTTTCTATTTGGCCAATTATTCCTAATTATCTCTTCTCCCTAAGCCTCTCTCAATTCTGCTTAGCTTTCTCCTATTAAAACGCATTGCAATAAAACAGTAAACAGAGTTATTAAACACCTACTATGTACCAGGCAGAGCACTAGATATTGGAGATACAAAGATACAAGTGGAATAGTCCCTGCCTTCAAGGAGTTTGCATCCTATCAGGGGAGATAATGTATAAATAGATAGGAAGAAACAAAATAGATACAAGTGAATTTTTGTGAGGAGGGCACTAATAGCTTGGCTGATCAGGAAAGGCTTCATGATGAGGTTAGTGTTGAAAATGAGTATTAAAGGACACTAGGATCTCTATGAGGCAGGGGTAAAAAAAGGGAGACCATTCTAGGCATGGTGGCCAGCCAAGGCAAAGGCACAGAGGCAGGAGATGAACTGCAGTACGTGAACAATAGTAAGGTCACTCTGGCTGGCCCACAGAATGTGTGAAGAAAGTAAGGTGTAGTAAGGTTGGAGAAGTCAGCTTGTTAGAGGGTATTAAAAGCCAAACAGAGGATTTCATATTTGTTCTTGCAGGTAATAGGGAGCAATTTAGAGTTTATTGAATAAGGGAATGGCATGGTCAGATGGGTGCTTAAGGAAATCATTAAGGCAGCTGCAGGGAGGATGGATTAGAGAGGGGAAAGAATTGAAGTATGGAAACCACTTAGTAGGCTATGGCAGTAGTGAAGATGAAAAGTGATGAGGGTCTGAACTAGAAGAGGAGTTGTAAGCACTGATATAAGAAACAGATAAAGAAGACTTTTTTGTTAGAAGAAATTACAAGATTTCAAAACTGATTGTATGCATGAGGTAAGAAAATGAGGAATTAAGGATAATCTTGAAATTGCAAACCTGAGTGACTAGAAGAATGGTATCCTCAACAGAAATAAGGAAGTTAGGAAGAGATGTAGGTTTTGTTGAAAAGACAACCAGTTCTGTTTAGACATGTTGAGTTTGACATGCTTACTGGATATCCATAGACTAGGACCGATAATACAGATTTGGGAGCCATACACATAGATGTGATAATTGGCTGTTAAAGAAAGAAAGGCAGTATTACCTTAGCCAACCAATCTTTCTCTGTCATGTTACTCCTTAGAGCATACTGAGAGGGAGAAGGGCCTAACACTGTGAATCCTGAACTGAGATTGGCAGACAATTTCCACTCTCCATTCCCTGGTTTGTGTTGCTCTCTCTTCCTAATGCACTCCTGTCCCTAATGACAAGCAGAACATCTACAAAGATAACATGGGAGCACTCACCTCAATGTCTCTAACCTGCAGTTTTGGTTTTCCGAGGCCTTACATAGAAGTTCTATTTCCTTCTCCTCAAAGGACTTTCCACTCAAATGCAGGTTTTTCAGGCTCTCATTGCTACTGAGAGCAGAGAAGAGATTCTCGTAACATGTAGGGGGAAGATCATGAGTCATCAAACTGTAAGAGAAAACATAATCAGAATGAAAGTGGTCAATTCAATTTTCTGTGATTAATTCACTTCCTATCTTTCTCTGGGCAATGCTAAAAACACATCCACTTTATGATCACCATTCTTTATCATCTCCTTTTCAGTGGAATAATGTAGTTTCTTTTAAAATGGTTAATGTCTTCCAGAGAACAACATTTTTAGACTTCATATTATACTATAAGGCAAGAATCATCAAAACTATTTAGTACTAGCTAAAAAATAGAAAAGTATAGCAATAAATCAGATTAATAAGAATCAGGAATCTTCAGTAGACTTGAAAACATAAATTAGTCATGGAAAAACTCATATGAAAAACAATTACTGGAAAAACTGGAAAGTTTTTTTTGGCAGAAATTAGGTTTAAACTAATATTTACAACATGTACTGTAATTAGCTCAAAATATACATGTGGCCTGAATACTGAAGGTGAAAAAGAAGAAGAGGAAGAGGAAGGAAGAAGGAAGAAGGAGGAAGGGGGGAGGCAGGAGGGGGGAGGGGAAGGGGGAGTAGGAGGAGGAGGAGAAGATCAGATAAGGAATCTCAGACAACTAAGAATACGGGAAAATTCTTATGTAGTGACAATAAAGACAGACAAAATAGCTCATATCCATTACATGAAATTTAAAAATTTTTGCATGAATAAAATTAATGATATGATAAGAAGGCGAGACTTTGGGAAAATGTTGTGTTGTGTTTCATTTTGTTTTGTTGGCTGCAAATCTCTGATATGGGACTAATATCCAAGATATACATGGGGAACTGAGAGAATTATATGATTTAAGTTATTGCTCAATGAATAAGTAAGTGGTCAAAGGAGTTGAACAAACAGATCTCAAAAGAGAAGTTGCAAACCTCTAATAACCATATTAAAGATGGCTACAAATTACTACTAATAAGAAAAATACTGAGTAAAACAACTTGGAGGCAAATTGGCAAAAATGACAAAAGATAGGAAAAAGTGTTGCAAAACTGTGGTAAGATAGGCTCACTGATTCCCTACTAAGGGAATTGGTATGACTTACAGAAAGCCAATTTGCAATTGTGCTAACAAATGACTAAAATATCTATATCCTTTGGCCTAGAGAATCACTGTTAGTTATAGATAACAAGGACCTCAAATACAGAAATGAAGGTTATAGAATAATTTTATTTTTAAAAGTAGAGAAGGATGTTCAGAGAGAAAATATATAAGCAAGACAATTTGACATTAGCATGGTGAATTTATTACAGACAATTAAGAAAAAAAGCAAAATGTATATCATGAAGATTTTGAATTTTATATATAATCTTTTATCTGTTTTATTTCATACATGGAAATAGTCTCTTTTTGTTGTTCATTAAAATTAGCATAAAAAATCTAAAATTAATAAAATATGACACAACTCTGTGAGGGGGGAGGGGAATAATAGGACTATGTTGAGAAATGTATGTGATACGTAAAGGCAAAAATAAAAAAAAATTATAAACTACAAGCAAAATACATTTTTCCAAAGCTACTGCTTCTTCACCTCCATTCTGATTTAATTCCCTGGGTTATAGTTTGTCAAACACATGATATGGGGGGGGGAATATTAAGTCAATTGTGATTAGGTATTTTTATGAATAAGAAGAATAAGATTGGGATTAAGTCAGTTGTGCTTTTTAGCTTATAATACCCAAGATTTTTTGCACTTGGCAAAGGAAGCAGTCTGTGTATATACAGTCACAATTCATGAGATCAGATGTGTATAGAAAGTGTTTGAAGTCTAGACAACAGGGCAAGAACTGAGAAGTGGTTGGTTATACATAAGACTTTCTCACAAAAATACCACTGAACGTAACTCTTGCTTAAATTAGAGCTTTGGAAGGAACCTGCAAGTGTCAGATGACCATCTAACACAAGAACACAAATAAATCGTAACACTGGACTGAATGCTTAGAAAAGGCAAGAAAGACTCCTGAAAGCTTGTTGTTATTGCTGCTGTTGTTTGTCCTTTGTTCTGGACAAGGAACTTGACATCAGAAGGGTGATGCCATGACTTGCAAGTGAGTTGGATTTAAATGAAGGAGGGCTGTGAAAAGTCACCAGCCTCACTTTCTCCTCCAGTCATCTGGGTCCAGTGGCAAGATATAGATCAGGATGACTGGAGATGGCCCAGGATACAATAACAGACCTTGGCCTTTTTAAGCTAAGGTCTCAGTTTGACTGAGGCAACACCCATTCAGTGATAAAGCCTAAGTAAGAAATGAGACAAAGAATGGCCTCTCTTACCTGCTTCCAAAAAATCAATTTGGGAGGGATAGACCCTCACAATTTCTCGCCAAAACAGAAACAATTGCTATTTACATTCACTCTGAGCCATCAGGGTCCAAACAATGACCAACTTGGGCTGGGCTGGGACCTATAATTGGCCAATCAATGAGAGCCAGAGTGACCTGGGTTTAGGGAATGGTTTTTAAGGAAGAAATCAAGCTTGTAAACCCCAAGATCTCTTGCAAGCTAGACCATTTCTCAAGAGTCCAAGAAATTGAGCCCTTCATATTCAAAAGAGACACAACTACTAGGCAGTTTGCCTTGGCAGTAACTATATGAATGATCTATGTAAGTTAACTATAAAGTGACAAAGAACTGAAGATCTCAGTTCCAGGAAACATGGAGAAGTGGGGAGACATTTCCAACAATCTAGAGAGTATGCCTATAAAAGCCAAGTGAAAGCTACAGAGCAACAAGATGTAGGATGGCTACATTCCTAGTGGAGGAAATTAAAGTGCTTGGAGAATATCTTCCTACTTCCCAGTTTAAAAGAAAAAATATGATCTATTCCTTGGAGAAAATGAGCTTCAAATGGAAAACAAAGAAAATAAAGGATCTGAAGAGGAAGTCACAAATCATATCCCAACATGGATAGAGTGATCAAAGGGAGCAAGTATTTGTGGGAAAGAGTGACTGGGGGCCCCAATCATGGCTTAGGGGTGGAGAGAAGGGCCCAAGGTTGGCCTCTGGGTCAGAGCTCAGAAAGTAACAGTAAGAAGGACCTTAGTACTAAGGCATCATTCTCCACACCTGGGGGACTAAAACCTGAATATCAATAATAAGCTGCTAAAAATGAGTAAGCAAAAGAAAAAGAACCCAACCACAGATAGCTGCTATAGGGATAGAGAAGATCTGGGTTCATATTCAGAGGAAGATAGTGGAGCTAAAATAGGCACTCCTTTTTTCAATGGGAAAAGTCAAATGGTCACAAACCCAAAAAGAGTTCTTGGAAGAACTCAGAAGAGACTTTAAAAATCAAATAAGAGAGATCAAGGAAAAATTAGGGCATAAAAGAGCCATCCAAGAAAATCAAGAAAAATTTTGAAAAGAAAGTCAATCAACTGGAAATAGAGAATCAAAAATTTAATGAAGAAAATAATGCCTTGAAAACTAGAATTGACAAGGGGAACCTAATGACATTATAAAACACCAATAAATAATAAAATGAAATCAAAAAATGAAAAAATGGAAGAGAATGTGAAACATTACATCAGAAAAATGACTGATCTGGAGAACAGATTGAGGAGACACAATATAAGAATAATCGGACTACCTGAAAGATAAGATCAAAAAAAGAATTGATACAATATTAAAAGAAATTATTAAGGAAAGTTGCCTTAAAGTTCTAAAACAACAAGGTAAAGCAGAAATAGAAAAAAAAATCCACTATCACCACCTGAAAGAGATCCCAGGAGGAAAACTTATAGGGATGTCATAGCCAAGTTTCAAAGCTCCTAGGCTAAGGAGAAAGTATTACAAGCAACAAGGAAAAAAATGTAAATATCATGGCGCTACAATCAGGATTACACAAAAACTAGTAGCTACTATGTTGAAGGGCAGTAGATGTTAGAACACTGTATTTCCTAGAGCAAAATAACTGGGGTTACAACCAAGGGTAACTTACCCAGCAAAGTTAAGTATAATCCTAAATGAAAACAAAAAAAGGACATTTAACAAATTGAAAGACATTCAGATATTTGTAACAAAATAGCAGAACTTAATTGAAAATTCAGTCTATAAGATCCAAGAGAAATATAAGGTAAACATTAAAGACCAATTATAAGGGAATCAATACAGTCAAACTGTTTACTTCTTACATAAGGAAAATGTTATCAGTATTCTTATGACTGTCATCATTATTTGAGTAGTTTGAAAGAAAGGTTTGGGCTGAGCTGTGTATGATGGGGTGATTCTAAAAAAAATAAGAAACCTGCATAGAGAGAGATAAAAAGGAGTAATTCTCTCATCTGAAGGAGGCACAAAAGGGAGAACTGATGAAAAAGCAAGTTGGGGTAGTGGGCTGGTAATTCTACTCATTGGAAATGGGTTAAAAAGAGAATAACATATCTAGAAGGGTATGAAGTCTTCTAAATTTAGAAAGAAATAAGATGGTGAGGGGATGAAGGAAGGACTTTTAGAAGGGTGTGTCAATTAAGAATTAGGAATGAGGATAAAGGAGAAAACTTTGAGAAAGGTGGGTAGATTAAGGTGGAGAGTGGGGCAGAGGATAAGGAAGGAACTTACAGAGGGGTAGATTCAGTGGGAAAGGTAGCAGGTACAAATAAATTAGATGAGCAAAATAAATTAGAGGGATAGGGTAAATAGAGCAAAAAGGATAATGGAGAAAAATGAAATGGAGGATAATACACAACAAATTAATTATAACTTAGAATGTAAATGAGATGAATTTATCCATAAAAAAGAAATGGATAGCAGAATGAATTAAATATCTAAATTCAACAATATGTTGCTTTCAGGAAACACAATAAAAATGAGAGATACACATAGAAATCAAATAAAGGGCTGGAACAAAATGCATTATGTAAAAAGAAAAAAGCAGGGGTACTAATCATGATCTCAGACAAAGGTAAAGCTAAAAAAGATTTAATTAAAAAAGAAAAATAGGAAAACTACACTATGTGTCACCAATATTATTAAATATTGTTTTGACACTTA